CACCTGGCGGGACGGGCGGGAGGGCACGTGGGCCGGCCGGGCTCGGCCGGGCAGCGGCGTTGGCCTCGGTGGCGGCTCGGAACCTACGAGCCGGGCGCGGAGACTGTTCTCCGAAACGCTAAGTTGCGCCGGGGATTCCCCTCCGCGCTGCGGTCTGGGCAGGTCTGACGAGAGCCAAGGCCCTTTCCTTCGCCGAGGACGCGGCGCTGGGAGAAGCGCGGGTCTTTTGGGAAGACTGCCCTCAGTAGTCGGCCTTTTCCCTGATATTTTATGTGTAACGGTGGTAAGAAATCTGCAAAGTCTGGCTTGACATGTAGTTTGTGCACTCCTTCAGCTCTGGAGGAAAAATTGTTACTTCTTAGCCTGAGAACAAGGTCATAACTTTGTTGATACCTTGTGTAGCAAGGGGTTTGAAAATAGAGGTGGTTGAAGGTTACACGGAAAAAGATTTTTTTTCCCACAGACTAAGACCCTTCAGAGGCTCTTTAACTGAAACAAAAGTGTTAAATGAGCCGGATTGAATCCGAATTAATTTCTGGTGATCTGTGTGGGGTATTTACAGATAGAAACTCAGATCTTTTTTCTTTTTTAACGTGTTTCAAAATAGACATGAGTGTGGACTTGAAGTTATATGAACTGCAGCCAGTTTGGGTAAGCTATGTGTGCTGTTAGGGCTACTTTATTGAACCTGGTGCAAGATTCGTCTTTGTAAGATTATTATTGTTTCGGGGAAAGGATGCTGGCTGTTTGGCTATCTGGAAGTTGAGCAGACACCAGCAAAAGAGTGGTGGGAGATCGTTTTCACAGTGCCTGCCATTTCCCCTCCGGTTTCAGAAAAGAATTATTTTCCACTGAAAAGTATATCAGTGCATGGTGTGTCCCATACTAATTTAGAGAACCATGGTGTTCGAAGCTTTTAGGTCTTAAGTGTTTAGTGGCTCAGTACCCCACCTGTTGGAGCTTTTGAAACAATCCAGGCCTGAGCCTTGCTTCTGGAAACTCATGTATTAGGCTGAGAAGAATGAAGAGTGAAGTTACTTTTTAAAAAACGTTTATTTTTATTATTTTATATGTATGCATGTATTGCCTGCATGTAAGTAAATTCACCCGTGTCGTGCATGTATTGCCTGCATGTAGGTAAGTGCACCCCTGTGGAGCAATGCCGGTGGAGGTCAGAAGAGGCTGTCGGATCCCCTGGGACTGGAGTTAAGGACAGTTAGTTGCCATGTGGGTGCTGGGATTCTAACCCTGGTCTTCTGCAAGACCGGTGATCTTAACCACTGAGCCATCTCTCCAGCCCTGTATTAAGCTTTTAAAAATATTACTGGCTAAAGCTTAATATAAAGTGAAGAATTAACTTTATTCGTACAGGATGGAAAAAGACATCAGTGCTCAGATTGAAGTGGAATAAGGAATTTGAAAAACGGTGAAACCAAAGTAACCTTTGCTCTCTACAGCTCTCCATTTTGTTTTGTTTATAAACTTCATCCCATCCCCCAGATCAGTTGGTTTTGCATCTTGTACTTGATGTTAGATGTGTCTCCCACTCCCCCTGTTCATATCACTAGCAGAAACTTTGCTGCTGAGAGTTTTCAGGGGGAGAGGAGGGGAGGCTGTGGACTGAGTAGATGCTGAAAGAATTGTCCATTTTGTTTTATCTTAGCTGTTTAGAACACACCTGTTACTCTACACACACCTCCCAGTGCGTGGCATGTGTCATTGTAATATATGGTGCTTACTCCGTGCTCAGCTCAGATTTAAATACTTCGTGTATACACTGTTCTCATAATTTTATGTGGAAAATGAAGCACAGAGAGCTTGAGTGACCTAGATCACAGTTTGTAAGTAGAAATCTGGAATTTTAAATATAATTTATTTGGCTTTGGTTTAGTGTTTTGGAGCCCTTCAGAGCTCATGTTAGATTGTTTTGTTCAGATACCTTTGGGTCTTGGTGGAGCTCTTAATCATTTTGAAATTTATTACTACATCAAATGATAGGTAGCACCTTTCTTGTGTAACGTTACAGTGAAAGGAAATCAGAACTGACAAACTAATTGTAAAGAAAAGAGGAGAAATAGGGAAGGCTCTCAGTGATGGTCTCTGTTTCAAAGTATATTCTGGTGATCGGAGTGATAGTCAAGTAAATTATAGGACCAGAACAAATTACATGTTGGCATTAGTGTTTTGGGGGCTTTTTTTGCTATCGTCATGGCAGTAGAAGAAATGGTAGGCTGATTTTGGATGCCACATTTTGGCTGCCGAGAGGACCAGTATAACCTGAGCAGTTCATATCTGGCTGGTGCTGTGTCTACATCGAAGGTTGGTAATTTGGGGAAGGATCATCCTCATTGTGGGTTAGTGACCCTTGTCCTTTCACTTCTTGGATTTGGCACGGTGAGAAGGTGGGGTATCACTTGATAAGGCATTTTAGAACCTGAAGAGGCTGCCTGACAAGGTATCTTTCCAGACTGCTTTGTAAATCAGTGACATACTGTACTGTCAGAGTATGACAGCCCCTATGTTTTTGACTTACAGTTCTAAGCGACCAGTAGACTACCAACCTAGCTTTCTTCCTGTGTGTGTGTGTGTGTGTGTGTGTGTGTGTGTGTGAGAGAGAGAGAGAGAGAGAGAGAGAGAGAGAGAGAGAGAGAGAGAGAGAGAATATGAATGAATATATGTGAACGAGTATGTTTAGAGCTTTGGTTAGGGTCCACTGCACTAGAGCCAGGGGATTAGAGGCAAAGTACAAACCTGATTTAGGAACTCATCCTGATAGGTTGAGGAAAAGGAAGTGGGGAGTTTTTTGAGAAGGGAAAATGTGGCATGTTTTAGAGGCTTTCAGGGTATCAGAGAAATTATTTGATTCACTACGTGCATCTGTGTTGTTAGAACTGAAGAGATGGCTAGCTAGTTTGTTATTTAACTACTTTTGAATTAACATGGTACAAAATCAGTGGTACTTTTGTCATTGCTCTTTTGCTTCATCCCCCCAAAATAATTTCTAAAGGAGCTAACTAAACTCGGGGTAAAGGGACAGAGACAGAATAGTTGGGTTTCTGGAGCCTTTCACCTATTCAGTCACTCACCAGCTTTTTTCTGCTCTGGTCTTTCCTTGCTTGTTACACAGTTCCAACATTGAGGGGTACTCGTGGCAATTATTCTTCAAAAAGTTCTTACTTCAGTTTAATCTAGTTTGTCTACTCTCTGTTCTCCACACAGCAGTAGATGGGGGAGATCTGTTTATATTGGCAGTCTTACTTTTTCTTAAGGGCATCCCTTCTGTATTCATCCCCTTCCTTTCATGCACTGAGAATTTGCTTTTTGTGTGTCTTGCTAAAAGGGAGTGAAAGTGACATTTGAGAATTCGGGTGTGTGTCTCTGTTGTATCTACTGGTAAACCAGAACATTTGCCAAACTTACTAAGTTTCTTGTATCATAAATTGAAATCATTTAAGCTGGGCTGGAGATATATGCTCATTGTTGTGTAGAGAGCATGCCTAGTATGCTTCAGGCCCTGGGTTTGATCCTCAGCATGGAGAGTGGACTGGGGAAAGCAGAGTTGAATTGTTCATACTAGGAAGCTTAAGTAATTCTGTAACAGATAATTTTCTGCCTATAAGGCCTAAGTGTTTGATTCTCTTATACCTATTTGGAATCTTCATTTTATAGCCTCAGTTACCTCTAGGAGATGGGGGAGAATGAGAAGTTAATGAGGGGTTGAAGTTAGAGGTCCTCATCACCTCTCCCTCTAAACCATTGGGGTAAGGGAAACAGACTAATACAGGCGCTGTAACAGATTCCGCCCTGTGATTTAAAGCTGTTAGGGAGGTACAACTGAAAATTTCAAAACTTCACCTGAGATGTCCATGAAGGCATGTCAAAGCTAAATAAATATTATTTTAAAATGAAATTGACAATTCCTAGTAGTCAGTGAACCAAGATACTGTTAGGTATAGTAGGTACTTTTGTATTTGTTTTCCCTGTAGTTCTGTTTGTTCCCCCCAGTAAACATGAATATCTTCTGATAGAGTTGGCAGTTTTCAGACTATAACATTCTCTAAAAGCTTCCTTTTTTCCTCAGTATTTTGGCCTTTGTTTTTATGGGTTAGATGCCAGCTTTTTTAGTTTTTTTAAGTTGAGATAATTTATGGACTGTAAAATTAAGCCATTGAAAGTGGTGAATATGCTGGTTTTTAGACTGTTCACAGACTGATGCTGTTATCAGTGCTGTCTAATTCAGGCACAGTTTTCCCAGGCCAAAAGAAATCCTGTGTCGGTAGTAGTCAGTCATTCCTTGTTTTCCTCTTTCCTCAAGCCTCTCTTTCCTCAAGTTTACTTTTGCCTGTCCTGAACATTTCATGTATTTGGAGTCATATAGCATGTCCCCTTTTGTGTTTGGCTTTTTTTCATTTAGTAATAAGCATGTTTTCAGGGTTCATCCATATTGTAGCATGTACCAGTACTTTGTTCCTTTTTTGTCAGAATGGCATTCCATTGTGAATATATTTATCCACTCATGGATTGTTGAGCATTGGATTATAACTGCCTTTTTGGCTAGTACAAGTATTCATCTACAAGTGTACATGTTTTGTGTGGGCATATGTTTTCAGTTCTCTGGGTATATATCTAGGAGTGAAATTAATGGGTGATTTGATAATTTTGTGTTTTAGCTTTTTTGTTTTTGAATGCACGGTCTTATGTAGCCCAGATTGGCTTCAAACTCACTGTGTGGCCAAGGCTCACCTTGAGCTCTTAATCTTCCTGTTTTGTCTTCAACTCTTAAATGCTGGGATTATAGATATGGACTACCACTTCTGACAGTTTTGCTTTTATTTATTGAGACAGCATTTCACTCGGTAGCCCATGCTGTCTTCCAACTCATAGTGTTCCTCTTGTCACAGCCTTGGAATTATTTGTAGCCCCAGCTGGCCTGGAACTCACTATGTAGATCATGTTGGCCTTGAACTCACAGAGATCCCTGTGCCTCTGCCTCCTGAGTGCTGGAATCAAAGACGTGTGCCACCATGCCTGGCTTCAGCCATCTCTCTTTTTTTAAATTTTTATTTTTTATTTTTTGTCTTTTTGAGACAGGGTCTCCCTGTAGTCCCAGCTGTCCTGGAACTCACTGTGTAGACAAGGCTGGCCTGCCTCTGCCTCCCGAGTGCTGGGATTAAAGGCGTGTGCCACCATGCCCAGCTCATTTTCTTAAATGCCATTTTTGCTCGACTCTGATCTTGAGTAGTTGGATCTGGAAAGACATGCTGGTGATAAAGTTTTGAGTGT